TGTAGTTGAGGGATCAAAAAAGTGCAAAAAATTGTTAAGGGACCAAAAATGTGCAAACCACTATAGTTGAGGGACCAAATTAAGCATTTAACCATTTTTAATTTTATTATATATTAATAATAAAAAATATAAAAAATATATTTTTATCTTATATTCTAAACCCTAACTTATAACTCAAACTGCAGAATTACTGTAAAGAAAGAAATTTTTTTTAAATAGCGGTAATTAGTCGAATAAAAATCCAGTAAGGCAACCAAATCAACGGCCATGATCCTTGCATCAGCCTTTACAACTCAGAACTTGAGTAAGTCGAGTAGTGACGTGGAGTCATCCGAGCGGTCTTCCAATTATCTGATAAGAATCCAGAAAGGGCCAGCCCACCAGCGAAACAGAAAGCGAAATTCCACTGCGTGCGTCTTTACCAAAATAGTCATGCACCTGCATTCATCGGTTTGGAGAGATCAAATCTAAGCCGTTGGTGAACCAGGTAGTAAAACCCCATCCACCTTCTCTCTCGCCGTGACCTGTCCCTTCTCTTTGCCACTTATCCGACCTCCGCTTGCATTGCTCTCCGCCGACATTCGAGACAAAGATCAAACCCTATCCAGTCCTTATCCACCGCGAACTCAACGGAGGTATTCCGATTTTCACCCCGGCGAACAGCTATTTTCTTCTCTTGTGTGTGTGGATGGTGGCGAAGATTTGTTGATTCTGACAACCGTCATAACCGAAGGCAAGTGAGAGCACTGAGCGGCCGCGAAGCAAATGGCTTTGACTTCGATATTCAAGCCACCACCTTATGTGCACCGTAACTGCAGTCTTATATCCCTCTGTTCTTTGCCGGTGGTCTCATCATTTGGTTTCCGGGGAAAGGCGTCGTTGCTTAATGTTCGTGTGAGTGCACAAAGGACGGACTCTGAAGGTGGTAGAATTGGGAGCCAGGAGCCTTTTGGCGCCGAATTGCCGAGTATTTTGGCGAGGAAGGATACCGGTGGAATTTCGGAGGAAGAAGATGAGGTTCGTGAAGAAAGAAGCCAAAGTTTCAACAAAAGGGAAGAAGAGGAGTGGGCTGATTGCGAGGACCAGATTTTACAGGATACAGTGCCTCTCGTTGGCTTCGTTAGAATGATTCTTCATTCTGATAAGTAAGTAATTCCATTTTCATTCTCCTTTCTGGTTGAATTCTTTCGAGTTCTATATCAAGTCATCTCAATTATGTACTGTGGACCATTGAACTTTGTGTGTTGCTTCAGATATGCAAGTGGAGATAGGCTAATTGCAGAGGATGAGAAGATAATTCTAGATAGGTTGCTTCCATATCATCCACAGTTTGAAAAGAAGATTGGTTGTGGAATCGATTTTATCACAGTATGTGTCTCTTGCTTTTTTCCCTTTCTTTTGTTTTCCCATAGATTAAGCTTCAATTTTCCCCTGCATTTCTATGTTGTTGGAGAAAGAACTTGACTAAATTACATCCCCATGTTCTAAAATTTATATAAGCTGCTGATGTCTGTTTTTATCAATATGGTTCTTTAATTAAAATTATGCCCTATTAGTATATAGTTTGATCTATTCAACCTCATAATTACTTTACTAATGCTGAAAAATTACTTAATTCACGTTTTCTTTGTGCTTCTTAGTGGCTTATTATAGGTTGTTAAGACCTCCTATTGAAACTCACATTTCGGTCTATTTTGAAACCTTGTATTTGTATTCCAGATTTAGGTCAGCCTCTTGCCTTTGTTATGGTAACCTCTGTTCTGTTGCAGAGCAAAGGGTTTAGTTGTTGTTGGTGATTAATACTTAATGGTATGTTTTTCATTGACTAACTCATCCATCCGTTCATTAAAAGGGTTAAAAATATCATTATAGATCATTTTCTCCACCTCAACTATCAAACCAACATAGTCAGGGGGGTGCTCTTCATCCTAGTCAATATAAGGGACCACATTTTCAGCACCCCTAGCTAGCTCATGAGCAACATTCATTCATTCTTCGTCTTTGTCTTCTTATTTTTTAGTTAGTGGGTTCCATACCATGCTAAACTCAAGTTGGTCATTCATTAGCAGTATTATTTCAACATTCATTGAAAGATAAATAATGAAATTATACTAATAGGGACTTTGATTTTGATGATTGATCCTGGGTATGCCTAGTGTACTTGTACTTGCCTTGTTTTCGGGAGTTTTGAAGTATAAAAGCACTTGCCATTTCCTTCAAGAAAAATAATGAATTTATGTTGTATTAAAAGTATTCTGTCTGCTTCCATTTTTGGCACCGCCAAATTTATTTGTTTCTTAAATCTCCAAGTGATTCACGATATCCTTTTTCATATCAGTTATTAATTTTTTTGTTAGAAATTAACCCTAGCTTATTCATTTTTTATAATAAGTTTTTTTTTTTTTTTCTTAAGGATATAAAGGGAAAAAAGGTGCATCATTTTGCTTTGTACTTGATAAAAAAAATTTCAATTTTCTCTTTATTTCCTTAATTGAAGACTGAGGGAAAAACATGGTGCCACTGATGATAGACCCAGATAATATCTAAGAGCTCTTAACTGAAGTTTAATCATGGCAATTAAACAACTTTAAAGTAGGTCCATGCATGGTTTCCATTGTCCTGGTTGTGGAGATAATGAATATTTTTTGGTTCACAGGTTGGATATCATCCAGATTTTGAAGATTCAAGATGTTTGTTCATAGTTCGAAAAGATGGAGAATTGGTAGACTTTTCATATTGGAAATGCATTAAGGGCCTGATTCGGAAAAATTATCCACTATATGCTGACAGATTCCTTCTCAGACATTTCCGCAGACGGAGACGGTGAATGAGGGTAATATTCTGAACTTTTTACCATTCATATGCCATTTTTATGAACTTAAATAAGATAGCGGCCCTTCCCTATGAACCATTTACCTAGAACATTATAAATACTCCCCATAACAGGGTGTGTACAAGTACTCTAGGCGTTTATAATTTACCTAGGGTAATATTCTCTCTTCCGCATTTATCCTTTACTTCCCCGTGAACCATTTACCTGCAGAAGCACTACCCTGTATCTTCTACCCTTGCTGATTAGAACTACAGCTCCCACACTTCCTCTGCTTGGGTGTCTGTATTGTTATGTGTTTTCAGACTTGAAAATTTCTCCATCAACTGGAACTGAAGGAATAAAGAATTGTTGCGTTGCTCATTTTGCAATCTAATGTGCTTTCAAATTGTATTTTGTTCCACCCCTTTCAGAGTTATGTGCTCATTTCATGCGTAAATCTTCTTTCATATATTGAGATGCAACTTTTGTTTGTCTGCCTTTTATGGGGATGGGATGGTGTTTGTAAGTTGTGGATACCAAATAAAGCTAACAAGTGTAGCGGTAGCTGCTGGGGTATTTTCTTGTCTCTGACCTCAGGTTTTTGCCAGTGTAATGTGCTTTAGGGACGTTTCAGGATGCCTTCTGCACTATTGCATGAATTTTGTTGTCACTTATATAGCGCGCAGGTTTATTCTTTTCTATTTGCATTGTTCATTGTTTTCCATGAAAATTGGCAACTTCTAATCAGCAACTTCTCCTTCTCGGAACGGTTTCACTTTGAAATATGATCCACAAGAGCAGAAGGGATATCCACAATCCCCATTTTCAACAACTGATCTGTTTTGAGTGAAAAGCATCTGACAGTTGACACCAACACGAAGAGACAAAACTTTTATTGACTGCATTCGAAAGACCCTTTTTAAAAGCAATATTACTGTGGTAGTGGTTAATATTTTAGATTTGGTTTAAACACTTCCAGAGTAATTCCCTGTGAAAACCAGATTTCCTGTCATTGTCACCCTGTGTCACCAAAAAACCTAAAAATCAGTTTCACCCAATTCATCTGTTTCTTTAGAAAAATGGGAAAAATCAATCTCAAGTCATACTTCCAGTTAAAGTTTTGAAGGGTTGCTTTACCAATATAAGTATTTGCCAGATTTCCAAAATCTAAAGATATTACCAACCCAAGTTTAGCAGCTGGATTTGCAAAATGCATTTCCCTATATAGGAATTGTTTTTAGAATGAGTGCTGCCATGGTGTGTGGACAAATAAATAAATAATACAGCTTGAGAAAGAGGCGATTAGGTGAATGAATAAGTTGGTTTGGGGAAAGTTTTTCTTTCAATATATGACAAATAAATGATGAAATAACATTCTAACACAACTGGAATTTTTTTCTCCATTACCCGTCAGAAGTTCTTCTCAATAATATATACTTTTAAGAGAAAAACGAAAAAGTTAGACAATCTAAGCAAAATTTTCTTACAAACTTGGGCAGCTAGAGTCCTCTTGCTCGCACTCAACCTCCGCCAATCCGCAAGTTGCAAAAGTCACCACCTTTTCAACAAGATATTCCCAAGCAAAAATTCAAGGGAAAACTATCATCAAACCAAATAGGACTGAGTTGTAACTTGTAAGTGTTAGTGTAGAAATCAGTTCACCTTGATAACACTTAACATGTGTCACTCTTTACTAGCTCATTTGAATCTATTGTAGTGTGTGAGAGCGTCAAAGTTGTATAGACACGAACAAATAGGTGGATTAGGGTAAATTGATCTGAGTCATCTTATGTTATTAATTAGATAAATTAAGGTAAATTGATTTATGAATTAAAAAAAAAAACATAATTTTTTTGTTTTATAATTTTTATAAATTATGAGCATTGATATCATAAATTATGAATTAAATAGATATGATGAAATAAATTTACAAGTTAAGAATTTTTATTCATCATCCATTGCAAGTGTACCTATTATCTTGGGATTGTGGGTTACATCAAGTTTGCCTATGGCTGAAGGCTGAAGGTGTTCATGATTGTTCCCTTTGTTCGGGTCTGCGTGCCTCTATAGGGTGTTGGGGGGCCACATTATCCCAAAGCCAACCTCTTTCCATCTCTAATATTCCTTGTTCACTACCTCACATAAGATTAGATCGACAACTCCGAGATGCCATGGAAGAAACATGGAAGGACAAAGCCTACTGATACGTCAAAACAGTAGGACCCAACCCCGGCAAATTTTCAAACGTCACTCACACTCCACAGTAACACCCTTCCGAAAAAGGCAAAACCGGCTCGTGCCGGTTGCACCCTCTTTAGGTCCTCCGCCTCCGGTGACCGTACCCCTACCAGTCTCTCCCATTCCCCACTTCTGCTTCAAGATCCCTAAGGTTCATCTCTTCAATCTGCTTCTTAGACTCCAATGGCTGACATCAACCCCACCTCAGAACCATAGCGTCTTTGTTCTTCTATGTAATCGTTTTAAAAAGCGCCTTGCTTTTCTTATTTCAGGCGTTAATTGGATTCTTTTTAGTGATATGGATGCTGTGAGTAGCAGTAGGAACGACATGAATGATGAGTCGACGAGCGGAGGGGAAGCTCAGGGAGGGCAAGCTCAGCCGGTGGCGGTTCACAGTGCCAACGCGCCTCCGCCGTTCTTGAGCAAGACGTACGATATGGTGGATGACCCGGCCACCGACGCGATCGTTTCCTGGAGCCTTACCAATAACAGCTTCGTCGTCTGGAACACTCCTGAGTTTGCGCGCGATCTTCTCCCCAAATACTTTAAGCACAACAACTTCTCCAGCTTCGTCAGGCAGCTGAACACCTATGTACTGGTTTATCTCTTTTGGCTTTTGCTTTGTCTAGCTTTTGTTCACCTTTACTTTTAGTTTTTGTTGGTTCTACGTGTTAGTTACTGGACATGATTATAGATGGAGAAAGGGGAAACTGTTACCGATTAATTTGTTTTAGTTTGGTTGCTTGGACTGATTTTCATTGTGGATTTTTCTTTTTTTTTATGGGGGAGTTGTGGAATTAGCCAATTTGGTTATGGAGTATACTGCTCTTGTGAAAGATGCAATTGAAAGTAAGCTCTTTTAGCCTTGTGCAGAAAGAAGTTATTTATGGAAACATATATTAATTATAACCTGGGAGAGAGCTGGGGTCCATGAAATCTTTGGTGTGGTGAAGTAGGCACACGGTATTGTTGTTGATTTGGGAAATCCTTAGTTTCTATGTTAACAACAAGGATTTCCATAGGGTAGTGATGTAGTTAAACATAATGCTTGGTCAGGTGAAGGTTATCTCTGATTTGGTGTCAAGAATCCCCTTTGTGGTTGCTGAGAAAATTGAGGAAGAGAAAATTCAAGTTTTCAAATAATTGAGCTGCTTGGTTTGGCTGTTTTTAGAAGTAGGGCATTTGCTTGTTGTAGATTAATTTTGAAGAGGAAAATGTTGTGCTAAGGTTTAGAAAGTGTAGGGTTAGGTTGCTGTTCACCATATAGAAATCAGTTATAATCATGAAACTATAATACTAATACTATATGGTTGATAAGAAGTTTGATACAAATGAAGGCATGATCCATTTGAAGCCATTTTGTATGTTGCTTTGATTTGTAAACGAGGAACTTGTTACTGCTAAATGTCATGTGTTAACGTTATGGCTGGGGATTCAATAGTTTTAATTATTCTTCCTAAGTTTTCTCAGCAACCCAATGGAGCAGAAGGTGGAAATTGAAAGGAAAGCAAATCTCAGGTTGTTCATGACCTGATCACAAGGTTATTAGTAACTATTATTTATCACTTTTTAAAGTTTGTTGCAGGTGTTTTAGTTTTGACCTATAGCAATTGTTGTTTCAAATAGATCCCTTTTCTTTTTATCTCTGTTTTACTGACTTTTAAATCCTGCGTCCTAGCTTTTTAAGTTCTAGTGGTAATCATGAGGCCAGCAGGAAGAATAAGCAGATCACTTCCTGAATTCCCATATCTTCTTCAAAGTTGCATATTTCAGATTAGCCAAATACTTGGTCTGAAGATTTTGATTTAATCAGTGCCCCCTGCTAGATTTTTCTTTTTATTGTTGGCACTACAGTATCAGCGGTAATCTTCTTTCATCATTTGACATGAACTCAGTATCTCTAACTTTGTGAAACAAGGATTCACTGCCAGACTACTCTTTCATGACAATACTCTAAAGGAAATATATGGCTGATTTGATGGTTTCTCTCTCTTTCTAGTCTGTGTTGACATGCCGAGCTGCATTTTTGTCTGATATGACAAGTTTGAGAGATGGGAAAAGATTAATTATGTGTTTCTTCTTTGATTGATGTTTGCATGAGAAGATTAATTACCTGTTTGATTCTTTCAACATGCTCTTCCCAAGCTCTTTGTTTCCCAGTTTTCATGGTTCTTCTTCTCAGTGATTTTTCTTCTTCTCTCTTCAATTAAGTTTCCTTTTGCTGGCAATTGTTTTATGAACAGGGGTTTAGGAAGGTTGATCCTGACAGATGGGAATTTGCAAATGAGGGCTTTTTAAGGGGTCAGAAACACCTGCTTAAGGGTATTACTCGACGGAAGCCTGCCCATGGAAATGGTCCTCAGCAGCCCCAACAATCACATGGACAGAGTTCATCTGTGGGCCCCTGTGTTGAGGTTGGGAAATTTGGGATTGAGGAAGAGATTGAGAGGCTTAAGAGGGACAAAAATGTGCTTATGCAGGAACTTGTCAGGTTAAGGCAGCAGCAACAGTCTACTGACAACCAGCTACAGAAAATGGTGCAGCAATTTCAGGGGATGGAGCAACGGCAGCAACAGATGATGTCATTCCTGGCAAAGGCTGTTCAGAGTCCTGGCTTTTTGGCTCAGTTTGTACAGCAGCAAAATGAGAGCAATAGGCGTATAAGTGAAACCAACAAGAAAAGGAGGCTTAAGCAGGATGGTGTCATTGAGAATGAGCATTCTGGTGCTCCTGATGGACAGATTGTTAAATATCAGCCTTACATGAATGACACACAAGCAATGATCTGGCAGTTCATGAAAACGGATTCTTCTCAGCTGGAATCTTTCAACAACAATCATGAAAATTTCCTGCTTGGTGATTGTTCATCATCATCTAGCGGAGTAGATAGTGGAAGTTCTCCAGACCGCATAAGAGGAGTGACCTTTCAGGAGGTCCCGCCAACTTCAAGGCCATCAACTTTTGTGCCAGCAGGTTTGGGGATCTCAGGGCATGGCCCCGCAGTTGCCACATCTGAAGTTTGGTCTTCACCCCATGCCACTACTTCTGAAAAAGTTTCAACAGCTCAATTTCCTGATATGAGTGGAATAGCTAGAGCACAAGAGTCACCCTCCATCTCTTCTTCTTCCAAAGATGTAATCATGACGGAACTCACCAAAACTTCAGGAATGGTACCAGAACGCGCTGCTGATATTCCTGCAGAAAATTATTTCCAGTCAGAAACAGGGGGTGATAGATTAAGTGATCAAACTTCAATGGATATAAATAGCTCCATATTAAGTAATGCCATTCCTCGGAATGAAGACATAGATGCTTTGCTGGCAGATTCTAACTTCTGGGAAAATATTTTTGTGCAAAGTCCAGTGCCTGAGGATATTGAACCAAACTCAGTGGATGGTAGAAACAAGAGAAGTGAAGGACAGGTAGTGGAGAATGGATGGGATAACACTCAGCCTATAGATAAGCTCACAGAAAAAATGGGCTTCCTCACATCAGATAGACAAGGGGTTTAATCTTGCCAGTCAAATTGTATGATTCTCTTTCACAACATTTTAGGTAAAAATCCTCTCATTTTGACCATTGAAACCAACAACTAATTTTATTTCTAGCCTTCCACTGAGGCTGAGTCTTATCAAATACTGTTGCGTTTTTTTGTTTTAGCTATTGTACAGGTGGTTGTAATGTTTCAGGAAGATGGCAAGGATGGTTCAGTTGTAAGGAAATGGGCATCCCGTTCTTTCTTGGTCAAGCACATTAGTCGGCAATGTAGGTGCTTCTGTGCTGCGTCTTTCATGATTTACAGTAGAGAGTTTAGTGTTTCTTGCTGTTGGGATTGCAAAATAAAAAGTTATTAAATGAGAAACAGTCCTCAACAATTAAAAGATTTAATATTGTTTAATAATTTATATTTTGTAATTTTATAAAACTAAGAGAATAATATTTATTCGTTTTATTTTTAAAAAATTATGAGAAAA